AATTTGAAATTCAAGCATTTGTGAAATTCCTTGAAATAGTAGAATTTCAAATTCTCCCAAAAGAGTAAGAATTTGAAATTCCTCATACTTTTTTCTTCTTATTTCACTTATATATTTTATCTTATCTCTTATCTCTTAATGTTTTTAATTATTGAATATTCAAAAATATATTTAAAATTATTAAATATTATCTACTATTAATTTTTAAAATTATTAAATATTTAAAAATTAGCTAATATTTATTTTTTTAAAATTTAATTTAAAAATCTCAACATATAAATATATTTTTAAAATAAATTTTATCATGGTGGAATCAAATTATCATATCCAACCTAACAATTTAAAATTTGAGAAATTTGAATTGACTTATCCAAACAAAATATTTTAACAATGATAGAAATTGAAATCAAAGTAATTCAAATACCAAGAATTTAAAATTCCTTGAATTTGTAAAATTCCTCATCCAAACACACCATAAGACTTTTGTAGAGAGAATTTGAGTGTATAATCTCATCTCAAAAGCCAAAAATGGTGCAAGCTAAGCTAACCTAAGTTAGAAATAACCTAGGTTAGGTGATGGAAACCTTAAGGAGAGGCTTGATTGATGAAGCTTCTCCTTCAAGCTTCTTCCTAGATCTTTGAGTTCTTGACACTTCTTAAACTTCTTCAAGGTCTTCAATGGAAAAGGAAACCTTTGGACTCACCTTTAATGGTGAAGAATGTTGAGATTCATGGAGTGGTGAATCAACTCAAACTTGGAGTATGAAAGTTTTGATGATAACAAAAGGTGGATTATGAGAATCAAAGTTGACCAAGGATATCAACAAGTCAAAAACAAAATCAAGAAGAAAATATGGCTATTATGATGTGTAATAGGGATAGCTCATAAGTTGTATTGATTTGTTTAGCTTATTTTGCATGTGTGTGCTTTGTGCATGAGTTAATCTTAATCCAATTTGACTAAGAGTGAGTATGATGATGATTTAAATACTTGGAAAGTTATTTTGAGATATAAAACTGAGTTTTTGAAAACTAACTCAAAATAATCGATTATCATTAAATGTAATCGATTATTCCAGCAACAGGTGAAAGGAAGCCTTGCTGTAATAATTGATTATCCAGCAAAATAATCGATTATTATGTTCTTGAGTGATTTCCAGAAATCATGAAGAACAAAATAATCGATTATCCTTTAAAATAATCGATTATCTGGTTCTGAAAATGTTATAAATAGTTTTTTACACTTTGAAACTTCAGAACAGAGAATGAGTTAACAATCAAAAAGAGAAAAACATTATTGTGAAGTCTTTGTGACCTTCTTGGAGTGTTTTCTTTGTGAAACCAAGAAGTAAAACATTTTTGAAATGCTTTGAAAGAGATCATCATCATCATCACATTCTTGGAAGAGAAAGATTGAGATTTGCTTCTGGAATTCACAGTCTGATTTGTTCAGCTTCCAGGTGTCTCAAGTGGTAAGGAATTCTTGTAGTGGGTTTCCACAAGAAGTGCTTTCTTGGGGTCAAGAAAGTGGTTATCTTGAATGTAGGAGTATATGCATGTGTGGTATGCTTGTAAAACTTCTTCATTGAGATAGTGGAACAAATCTTGATCAGGTTATGATTGAGGACTGGATGTAGGTCACATGTGGAGTGGCTGAACCAGGATAAAAGACTTGTGCATTCTTCTCTCACTTTTATCTTTTACTTTGAGCAAAAATCTTGGTTGAGGGTTAAAGTGAATAATCTTGATTAATATGTTTGCATGTGTAACATTGTTTTAAACTGAATCAAAGTGTTGCATATTAAGTGTTCTTAACTTTGAACTTTATCAAAGATTAATCAAGAAAGCATATAGGACTCATTCCCATTAGCAAGTCTTTCAAGGAACTTCTTTGAGGATTCATATTAGAAAAGTTTAAATTGAAATAAAGATCCTAAGAACTCTGAAAAATTTTAAAGTGTCATAGAATTCAATTCACCCCCCTCTTAGATTGAGCCATTCTTTTCTAACAAAGAACTCTCTACAAGTGGTGTCACTTCAAGGAAGAAGATAAACCACTTCAAATGTCACAACACTCTTAGGAAGAGGATAAAAGAATTGGAAGCAAATCAAAGAGAGCATTTAAGCTTTTAAGAGAGAGAATTTGATAGAGAAAACTAGGCCAAACTCTATAATATGCTCAAAATTGAGTTTTACATGTGAAGGAACAAATATATAGTGGTGGAGAAGCTTGTAGTGCAAGGTAGACAAGGTGGACACAAGGTGGAGACATTAGATCTAGAAGAGCCAATCATAGTGTGCCAAGTGTCACCATGTCTCCTAGAAGACAAGGAGAAGACACTTAGATCTAGAAGAGTCAATCATAGAGTGTCAAGTGTCACCTTGTCCCCTTGACAAGCCAAGTGGCAAGGTGTGTTAAAGAAGCTTGCAATTCGGCCAAGGAAAAGAGAGGGGCGACCAAGCTTGTTTCCTTCACTTAATCCAATCCAAAAGTCTCCAAGCAACATACCCTAAAATCCTAAGGGTATGACCTATAAAAAAAAATAGAGGTGTCTTATAAATACAAAGGCAAAATATGCCTATACAAGTATCTACTATGTACAAGGGAAAATGATAGCAAACTTAGGAGAAGTGATGGATGATCTTCTCCACGGATTTGCTTAGGCCGGATCTTCTTCAATGGAGGCTTGATTCTTCAACTCAAGAACACTTAGAAGCTTAAGAACTCACGGATGAACTCAACCTAGAACTAGGAGGGAAGCATCCAAGCTCAAGCATCAATGGAGAGCACACTTCAAAGAGGAGGATTCTAAGGTGAAATCCTAAGGTTTTGAAGATGAACTCTAAGGGACTTTTGAGAGAGGAAACTCGGCCAATGGCTCACAAATTTCAATTATGATCAAAAGTGAATACAAAAGGTGAAAGAATGGCTTAAGTATGCACGGAATTATGACCCATAGGTGCCTTGTCTGAGTGAGCTAGTGAATCTTTCCATATTTGGGTCCCTATTATGGGCTCGTCATTTTGTCGATGTGCCTCGGATCGACTAATGGAAGATCACCACGGTACATATGCGTATAGACTTTACGTAAATACCATTTTGAAACTACACACCCAACTATTTGTAAGCTGCAACCATCTTTCACAGGGAAACCACAAGAGCAAAAGTGGGTCTTTGAAAATATGGAAGGGCATATTATTAACTATCCTTATAACAGAAATTTTTAAAATGAATAGAACTTTTCGGATCTAATCATGCTTACATCGGTCATTTCTTTTTTTTTTTTACTACTGTAACTGTGCAGGATATCAGCTTGGTTAGAACAACATTAAACATTCGTAAGCCTCAAACATGGATGTCTCGTGTCATTTACAATTTTACATGACAATATAACAAAGACTTGTGAGTCCCAAACCTCATCCCACTTTCCACCCCTCAAAAGAAAATAAAAATACACACAAACAAAAAAGCCCCATTCAAAAGACTTTACACACTACAGAAGAATGGCTTCTTCATTTTCAATGAATGAAACAAATTAAATGAAGAAAGCCACAGAAGAATGAGAAAAAAGAATCACTGCAAATCAAATGGATAAACATTCAAAGCGAAGACAACCTGTGTTATTTCTCACCTCAAAGAAACTATATTTATTTTACTTGAGTCTCTTTAACGAAAGTAACATCCTCAGTTCCAGTGGATGATGAAAGAAGGTGCTTTTCTTGCTCATCATCTATTTCTGTTGACTCACGGGGAGTGGCAGGTGAAAGAGATTCAATAAAGTCATCATCTGCAAACAGTCCCCAAAAAAAGACACAAAAAAAAAAGGTTGCATATATTACCAAGATGGAAACTCAGTATGCACATTAAGAATACATGTTGATTGGGAAGAAAAAAGAATAAGAGATATACACACCCGAGCATTCATGGTACTCAGGTAGCTGTTTAACACTTGTAACTTGAAGACTTTCAGGAAGTAGACAGCTACACAAAGCACCTGCAATTTTGGCCAAAAGGTTGAAGTTAGAATTATGCTTATTGTATTTTTAAGAAAAATTAATATATTGGATTATATCTGTCACCCAAAATGATGTTAACCTCACCTGATGACATTACAAATGGTGTTAACCAACCAAAGACAACCGATGTTTGATATTTTCATAGAAATTAGTTTTCTTTGCCAAGCATAACTCTAAGTAAGTTGACAGTATGGACTTTAAAGTTTAAACATTGAAGAAAACATGAAATCATTGTCGGATTCTATTTTCTACAACTGACTTGAACTCAATTCAAATGTTATGTAATTAAATTACATACTATACTTCACCAAAAAATAAAAAAAATTACATACTATAAAATTTCTATTTCTGTGATATATATTAGAGCTTATGACTTAATATTTTAAGAGACAGTCTTTTCTCTATCTATTTCAACATTCAAGTATGCTTTCAGAAAAGTTTGAGTCCTATAATGGCCCTAAACTTTATAACTGACGGATTGGGTAGACAGAAGCTTGATATTAGAAGTCTCTCACCAAAGAGATGAAAACAGAGGAGAAAGCAACTACCATCTAGTTCATAATAAGAATTCAGAAGATAAATATTGAAGTAAACATATATATCAAGGTTTAAGAAATAAGCATAAAAACGAATTTCCATGTAATGTTTTACCTAGCTTAGCAAGCCTATTCACCCAACCCGGGATTTTTTTCCCAATCAATCTATAGGAGACATCATCTGTAAAATGATTGCAGTTTTTAGTGATAAGGTGGTAGGTATCCCCATGATACTTGGAAGCCATGTCTTCAATAAATGTTCGGAACTCAGAAGGATTCATATTGGTTTGACCCAAAGTGATGGAACATCTATATATGAATCCAGGGCAATTCCTTGGCTCCACTTCAAAAACTCCACTTGCTGGGAAGTCATGCGCTCCAAATCCATACTCCTTACCATGCACTGTTTCATAATACAAGAAACAATGAAAGAAAGACGAAAAGTCTCACCAGATTAGCATTACGAACACGAATTAAAACAATAGAGAACACATCAGCATAAATCACAAAAGACATTTTCTTGGAGTGATGGCATCTTCAGTACAATTCTGACAAAACAATAGTTGTTTCCAAACAATAATACAAAAAGGCACGTTCAAATATGCTAATTTTCTTTTTATTTATTTATATTGAATACAAGTTCTCAATCAACCAGGAAAACCATTTTTAGACATGAAATTGAAATCTCGCTCACACACAATATATAACAAATCCTAAAAGGATGGATTTGAAGAACCTAAGATGTCAAGTATGATGATTTTGATGGTAAAAAGGAGTTGTGTATTGCAACTGAAGATATATGTATGTTAGCTTTGCACTTGACAGTGAGATTGTAGCTCTTATAGTAATGTAATACGCGTAAACAACCTTCGGCTACCCATGCCATGTATTATTGTATTATTAAAAATTAGGGATGAATGAAATGATTTCATCGCATTAACACTGAATAATCATAAAACATATATACAGGAATTATTAATCTTTACACCTTCAGTAGTCTTTACACCTTGAAAGAAATTAGTCTTTGACCATTAGTTGGAGGATATTATAGTACAAACCAAAAAAACACTTTGGAATACATGGAGTAGCCTTGTTTAAGTCTTTAGACAGTAGACACAATAAAGTGGATTGAAAGCCAAACATAAAGAAGATTGCAAAATATAAATGTCAAACCAGAGAACAAGGTGTTTGACACTTGGGAAATCTTTTAAGAGGACTGTGAAAAGAGCTGTTGGAAGGCCGTTAAAATGGGATTCTCATCATTAAAATAGCTCCAAATGACTAAGGCTTTATGAATATACAAAATCCACCACCCCCAAGCATGAGATCAAAGAAATTGATCTGCATTCAATAAATTTTTTAGTTTTAAAACTTGTTATCATCACTCCAGCCGAAAAACCTTTGGGCTATTGTACAGTAAATACAAGTGATAGTGTTGTGTGTTCATTATTCAAAGTCATGTTTGTGTATCATTGGTCTTTCTCATTCTACATATAAAACTGGGTTATTTATTATTGTGACTGTTGCAGTGTGAAATGCTTGGCAAGCTTGAACCTAGGATTCCATTTTTTGCCTAAAGATAAGAACTTCCCTTGGGTTCTTGTAGCAAAACCAAAGGTTGTGTTTGTTTCAAAGTATCAAAAAGGTTTCACCAAAAAGTGAAATTGGAAACTTCGCATTCTCATGTTTGGTACAAGTTGTTTCCAAGGATATAAAATGTTAATATTTCTCTTGGTTCTCATTTCCATGATGAAATGAAAGGCGAGTATCTCAGGCCCCGTTTACCCCTGTTTTCATAGAATAGAAGTTATTTTCTACAATAACTACTTATCCTCACTCAATTCTTCCATGTTTCTTCTTTTACTTTTATTTTTCAATTTTTTAATAAATTTTAAATTAATTAAATACTAATCAAGCATGTTCATAGGAATAACAATTTTGGTCATAACATTCCTAAGAATACCATATTATACCTTAAAACACATGCTGTAGAAGATATTTTCGGTTTGGACTTGAATCAGTCATCTTTTTACCTTCAAACTATTCTGCGGCCTTAGTTTGCATTCATTGAATTGACAAGTTAGTTTTTCCCTCTTTATGAAGTTTGCCCTCAAATTCACAGTCCGATAAGTTACTAGCTAGGAAGTTGTTGTGCCTTGGCAAGTATTAAGTTTTGGAATCAGACATTTATTCAGTAATCAAGGTTATCCTTATCTGTCCCCCTTCATAGAGAAAAGTTGGGCAGTAGCACCAAAATAACACATTTAGTTTAACCGTGCTCCATGTAATTTATTATTATTATTTAGTTAGTTAGTTTACATTCATTGAATTGACAAGTTAATTTTTGCCTCTATGAAGTTCGCTCACCAATTCACAAGTCAACTGAGTTACTAGCTAGTAAGTTTTGGAATCAGACATTAATTCTCTATTCCCTTCTTCATAGAGAAAAGTTTGTCACTAACATTGAAAGAAAACATTAAAAAGCATAAGTATTGGGAGGTTCTTACAGCAACATACAGAAATAAATAAAACTCTAGACATCAGATCTAGCGCACAGTAATGTAAAGCAAGGAAAAAGAGAGACCTTCAATGCCAGAGTGAAAGATGCCACATCCAAACCAGTAGAGGTAGTTATTAATAGGGGTGAGATCGTAAACATTCAAGACGACAAGTGAGTTGATTTTGCTGTGTTGGTCGTTGCATTGTGAAGTGGAATCGTTGTCCACTCCCATAGTGACGTACTGTACAAATTATGGGGCAAATAGGGCAACCTTACAGATGAAATTACCAAAAGAGGAAAGCAGTTATAAAAGGAAAGAGAAATTCCATGGACATGGGGAAGATAAGACCCTCACAGAAGACAGATCCATCTTCTATTGAGGTCCATGTCCATGCCACACAGACACACAGACAATAACCTTAACAAAACATTAGACTTATAGTTGATCAGAAGCGGTTACTTTTGACTCAAGACGCCACACCTTTCACTTCACTTCCACCTCCCCACTTGCCAATTTTTTATTCCCTGCTACTTTTGCTGTTCACACTTAGTTACACAATCACCTCCTATCTTTTTATTTTAGGATTCACTTGCTATTTCTTTTTCTCTTAATTATCAGTTATATTGATTATATCTTTTCTAAAATTCTCATATTTAAATTAACAATTTATTTAGATAAAAAATAATAAATATTTGAAATTAATTAGATAAAGATTCTCTTCTTTATTAAGATTGAAGCAGATAAATAGACATGTATATTTATCTTTCTAACATTAAATAATTAAGTAGAAAATGATCAAGTAGAGAGAGAAGATTAATTTTAGAAAAGTACTTTAAATTAATGACAAATTTAATATTTTTAAATAAATTACTCAATTTTCTTAAATATAACACATAACTTATTATACTATCCGTCGTAAAACTTTTAGAACTACTTTTTTTTTTTACTTTCTAATGCATAAAATGTAAAAAATAAAAAAAATAAAAAGTTGTAACTTTAAAGTTAACGTGAGTTACATTAAATTGAAATTTTATCAAACACATGCTGCAAATAAGCCTTAATACCCAAAAATTTTCTTTTCTATTATTTTTTTATTCATAAAAATTACGTATCAATAACAAAATTCAAACTTAAAATAACAACTTTATGAGATCAACAGCCCAAAACAAATCAAAATAAATTTGAATCTGGTAAAGGCAATACTATATAATAGAGCTCAAGCAACAAATATGCGACTATGAGCATATCACAGTTGTTTAAAGAAACTAAGTGGGACTTATAATTGTGGGCTCTCTTAGTTTAGAGAGAAATGTAATGAAGAAATAATTATTATTAGTAGTAGTATTAGTATTGTATTTTTTTCCATCAATAATAAAAATAAGATCTAACAATATATAAAAAAAATATTAAATAAATCTAAATTATGGATATAACATGTTCTTACCGGAAATCTGCTGTAGAGATGATCCTCCGAGTAAGATTGGTGAGCCTCCTTCACTGGTACGCTTGATGCTCCAAGATGGAGGTGGTACCTAGAGCTGTCAAAACGAGCCAGCCCGGCCCATGTGGGCCGGCCCACTTTGGCCCACCTTAAAAACGGGCCAACCCAACCCGGCCCACTTTTTATTTTGTCAGAATTTTTATGGCCCGTCTCGGCCCGCCACGGGTTGGTGGGTCAAACGGGCCAGCTCACCAACCCACCAAAAAATTAAAAAAAAAATACAAACAAAATTTAAAATTTCAAAAGCACGGGCCACGCATCATCATTTGTTAATTAGAAACCGAAGCAAACATGCTTTTAGTTGAGGAATATACAGCTTCACCACGTAATAAAATCATTTTGCAAAATAATAACCAATCCTGAGGTAAGACACTATTCTTAAACATAACCAATCCTGCACAAGAGGGTTTCAGTCCTATAATTACACGGAAGCACGAAGGTAACGACAATTGAACCAACAAGAGAAGTATTTTATAATACAACCTGGCTAGAATAAATCCTAAATTATTTGGGACTGGGAGTAGGCCTGTGAATCCAGCGCCAACAAACAACACCATAGATTTCAATTCTAATTTTTCCTAGAAAGACATATATACCCAATCACATTTGTAGTTATCAATATCATATCATAATAACCTCTACTACCCAGTGCCCATATCTCAAAATATCCCTCTTTATTTCAGAATCACACCATACGTACATAACTAACAATCACTTAAGCCACCTACTTAATCGCGGTTTCTCAAATCTTAATTGATAGAAAAGAATGGCACAATCCAAGAGGGGGGTGAATTGGATTCAATGACCCTTTAAAAAATTTATCAGAGTATTTTGGATCTTAATTTTTATACACAAGTTCAATCATCTCAGAGATGACTTTGACTGGTTGAGATTGCCAAATTTAAAGAGTAAATTAAAATTATACTCTGAACCTTGGTGTGAAGAGCACTTTAAGGTCGACATTTTGACGATCCGAACCTTGGTGTGAAGAGCACTTTAAGGTCGGAATTTAGACGATCAAGACCTTGGTGTGAAGAGCACTTTAAGGTCGGCATTTTGACAATCCAAACCTTGGTGTGAAGAGCACTTTAAGGTCAGAATTTAGACGATCAAGACCTTCCGCTGCTCCTCCGCCTCCAACTCCCGCTCCCTAGCCAATGTGCTCGTCTTCTAGCTTTGATTTTCTTGTTTTTATACACAAGTTCAATCATCTCAGAGATGACTTTGACTGGTTGAGATTGCCAAATTTAAAGAGTAAATTAAAATTATACTCTGAACCTTGGTGTGAAGAGCACTTTAAGGTCGACATTTTGACGATCCAAACCTTGGTGCGAATAGCACTTTAAGGTCGGAATTTAGACGATCAAGACCTTGGTGTGAAGAGCACTTTAAGGTCAGCATTTTGAAGATCCAAACCTTGGTGCGAAGAGCACCTTAAGGTCGGAATTTATACAACCCAAACCTTAGTGTGAAGAGCACTTTAAGTTCGGCATTTTGATGATCCGAACCTTGGTGTGACGAGCACTTTAAGGTCGGAATTTAGAAGACCCAAACCTTGGTGTGAAGAGCACTTTAAGGTCGGAATTTAGACGATCCAAACCTTGGTGTGAAGAGCACCTTAAGGTTAGAATTTAGAAGACCCAAACCTTAGTGTGAAGAGCACTTTAAGGTCGGAATTCAGACGATCAAGGAGTTGTTCCTGGGATAATCGATTATTTCGGCAAATAATCGATTATTACAGCAAGGCATTCCACTTAGCCTATTTGCTGAAATAATCGATTATATTTAACAATAATCGATTATTTTGAGTTAGTTCTTAAAACTTCATTTTAAGACTCAAAATAATTTTCCAATGTTTTTAACTCATCATCATATACTCTCTACTTGGTTTAGATAAGATTTGATTATGCACAAAGCATACTAAGCACACAAAATATAGAAACACATTCACAACAATTTATATCCTAAGTTCTATTACATAGCTCCAACTCATAGCATTTTCTTGACTTTTCTTTGACTTTGTTTTTGTGCTCCAAGTTGTTGTTCTCATGTTGTGATCATCAAAACTCTTTAAGCTCTCCTAAGCTCAACATTAATCACACTGCCTCAAATGAGAGGAGAGGAATCTAACCTAAACCCCAAATTACAAAGTGAGAAAAAAAAATGAAACACCAAATTTAGCAACAGAGTCAGAGTCAGTGTAGAGGGGCACCTTCGTTAAGTTGAAGCCACCTGCAAAGGGACACCTTCGTGAACCGAAACCTTCGTCAAGATGAAGCAGAGCCTTCGTGAAGCCGAAGCTGAAGCAGTGAAGTGCGGCGTGGCGTGGTCCCGTTTCCTTGCTTGAATAGGGTTTTCAATTTTGACTGGTTTTGTTTTACACTTTATGCTCTCTGTTCGGACCGTTCCTATTTGGGTTGGCTGTTGGTGTTGCAATAAAAAAAAAGTGGGCTGGTGGGCTGCCCGGCCCACCACGGGTTTAGCCCAAGTGGGCCGGGTAAAAGTGGGCCGGGTTTAAATTTACCCACTTACCATAAAATTGTTATTTATTTTGGCCCGGCCCGCCCCGTTTTCAAGGTGGGCCGGGTTGGCCCACGGGCCACGGCCCATTTTGACAGCTCTAGTGGTACCTGCAAAAGAGACTCCGATGCTAAAGTTAGTGTTTGTGGGAGTATGAGTCTCGTATAAGTAATGCACGTACCTTTGTGTGTATTAGGATTTTGTTGGACCTTGGACCCGAGATCAGTTATGATCTGATTAGGATGACGAGCTGACGTCACACAGCGCGTGTCCGAGGTCATCCTGCGCTGTGGTGCCGAGCTCGGAGCTCGGCTTCGCAGTACGGATAGTACACTAGCCCTCCCAGCTCCGAAGACCGTAGGTCGAGGAGTTAAGACCGAGCTCGTCAGGGGGCAGTGACCTTTCGCGTATGCTTGCCTGTCAAGATTCCATGTGTTGCAACTGTCGCCTCGTTCTCGATAACGTGCAGGCGGCGTGGTAACAAGATTGTATTTTTATCTGTTTGATGACGTTGCCTCTTTGGGCCGATGTGGTATTCCGATGTCCATGTTTCATGGCCGAGCTGAGGAACTCGGCAATGATGAGTTTACTGCTTGGTCAGGCTGGTAAACCTTTGATTGAGTCAATAGATTGGTGAGGGACAAGTCGGCAACTTGGCTGGCCAGTACACTTGCCCCCCAAGCACCGAGTGATGTAAGAGCGAAGGGGCTTCTGAGGAGCTCCTAAATTTGTTGTTTGAAGGTTTGAGCTCGACCTTGGTTAGGAAAATGTGATCTCAAGGTTTGGACTCGACCTTGGCATATCAAGGTTCGAACTCGACCTTGGTTAAGAAAATGTGATCTCAAGGTTCGGACTCGACCTTGGCATATCAAGGTTCGAACTCGACCTTGGTTAAGAAAATATGATCTCAAGGTTCGGACTCGACCTTGGCATATCAAGGTTCGAACTCGACCTTGGTTAAGAAAATGTGATCTCAAGGTTCGAACTCGACCTTGGCATCAAGGTTCGGATTCGACCTTGGTAACGTAATTTGTATTTGAAGGTTCGAACCCGACTTTAACATCAAGGTTCGAACTCGACCTTGGCAAGTCGTCATGGTTAATGTGCCAATACCGAAAATGTATGGGAATGGAGTTGCTTTGTTGATTTATTTCTAAGGTGTGCCTCGTTAAAACCTTCCTTGGCCAAAAACCCTTTTCTTTAGTGGGAAAAAAGGCTGAGGAGGAAAAAAGAGTACATCACCTGAATTTACAAGTTAAGAGAAATAAAATTTGAGGTGGGTGGAATTTCAAGTTCCAAATTTTCCTTTGGAGGGGTCTGTTCTTGCTTCTCCCCGTAATCGCCAAACAAGGTCGCCAACTTTAAATGTTCGTGGCCTGACCTTGGTCTTGCTTTCCTTGTGGTTTGTCGCGAATTGCCTTGCGGAACTCGACATGCTCCTCCATCTGGATGTACCCAGCAGCGCGAGCTCGGAGCTCGTCCATGTCGGGAGGAGGTCGTCGGCAAAGGCT